TGTTGAAAACAGTTCTTATCATTTAGGCAGTGTGCAACATTACAAAATGTATACTGCTATTTTTTGCTATGAGGTTCGGTTTAGATACTCCATAAACCACAATGCCAAATGTCCCATATATTGGCAAATATGCTGCTTCTGATTTGCGAATCTGATTGATCAAAACGTCTGTTCTGGCACGCGTGTCATTTAATGTCTTCACTTTTTCGTCTATGTTTTTTCACGTTTTCGCAGTGCTACTTATCCTTTCACAACAGAAATTAGAAAAATCTTTCACTCATCAGGATTGACCTTCACTTCTCAAAGTAAACAAGATCTATGAAATTATCATACAAAGCCAGTGAGAAAATAACTTACAAAGCAAAATTGAAATTGTATTACACAAAATACAAAAAACAACGTTATGGCACTCTGTAAGTGGTATCGTATCAAGAAAATGCCAGTATCGATGAAACGTTGCATTTTATCCTCAAAATTTCCGCTACACGTTAGAAGATGGTGTTTTATGCTACCTAATGTACGTGGCTGCGCAGTCATTGAGCCGGCAAAACTTTTCGCCTTGACCGAATGTGTTAATCCAAGCCTTCGTTTAGAATCCTTATCTTCTAACACATTTATATATGTATTGTAGTATACATTATATGTATGTATATATTATATATATAAATCAACAAGCAAAAGAATGAAATTCCGTTTTAAAATTTTGAAGGTCCAACCTAATTTCTCCGGGTTGGTTACATTATAAACTGGTAGAGCGCAAATTAAAGAAAAATACAAAGAATCAAATAAATTTCAATCGAAGGCGAAAATCATATAAAATACAGGAAATTTGTATACAAAAAAACCGAAAATAATAAAAGCTTTAATCTCCTTTGTTTAACGCTTCAAACAGAAATTATCAAGGGAAAAGTATTTTGAAGCCTTAAACCAAACTGATTAATGAGTATCGAAGGTGTGGTTGTATGTTACTTAGTATTATGATACCTCTTGAAAGATACTTGTGCATACGAACTTGACAAGCTATTATGCATTCTAATTTACAAACTGGTAGTAGCCCTTGGTCAATTCCTAAATTAAATTTGTGTTATTTGTCAATTCCTAAATTAAATTTGTTTTAATTGTATTTGGTGTCAAAAAAGTGTCTGTCATACATTTTTGCAATATCCATTAAATTTTTTTTGTATTTTTTTTGTTCCAAAACGTGAATCACGTGTGAAACGTAATTATGATCTTTCCTTAATCTTGCGTAATCTTTTAAAGTAATTATTCTTTAGTTTGATAATCTTAACTTTTCGAGATGTCCTTTAGAAATACACGAAGATATTCTTCCGCTTCAGACAGCTAGCTCTTATATATTCTCCTATTTGCAGTTAAATGAACTCAGCAGTTAAACCTTTCGAGAAAATTGCAAGCAGTCTAATGATATACGGTAGAAAAGAGTTCAACTGATAAGCTTTTCTTCAGACTAATAACCTCCACTTAAGAGGGAGGTGTAGATAGATAAGTTTGATATTGTTCTTAATCTGTCATATTGATAGCAAAGCTCCTAAAGCTCTAAAATTTGATAATGTTATAGATGGTATGAACTCACGTGCTTTATTATTTTTATTGATTTATTTTATTTTCGAGTGAGAAATATTTTACGAGTCCTCAGTTGATTGATCTAAGGGTAATTAATTAATTTCAGGTAAAAGGACTTAGTTGTGCTACGCCATTTCTCTGGAAATCGCACTTTTAAGACAAATATGATCCATTATTATCTAAAATAGTTGCATTGCTAGGCAAGCATGGCTACATTTTTATATTTATAGGTTCCATTGATTCTTCAGTCTCATTTTTATCTGTTTAAGAATTTTTTTCAAATTAAGGGGATCTGTTATATATTTTCAGACTATTTAGAGATCAATTTTTTAGAGTCCTCCCCCTCCTGAAAATGTATTTTAAAAGCTTATTGAAGAATAGCCAAGTGACTGTGTCATGTCTTAATAATCTCTAAATAAAAACTAAGTTACACTTTAAAATAATAATTAGTGAATAAATAAAGTATTAATTTTATTTAGTTGTTTCGTTTTTGTCAGAAATTTAAATCATATAAAAGGGAGAAATATTAATTGCACTCTCTGGTATCCCGTCTCCCGTTATAGCATATATATTCTCTGAATGTTTCAAATTTTAAAAATCTAGAATTTAGTTTATTAAACAGGTAGTAATAAGAAAATTAATAATTAGCCAGAGCTTTTATACACAATTAATGGTTTAACGTTTGCAGAGCACTTTTTATAATTTAGTTTTCTTTAACATCTTAGCAAATAGGCAAAAATGTTTTAACATATTTATTTGCTTTTAATAATCTAATTAGGAGCACAGATATGGAAAAAAGCATTTACGCTTTCTTGCTTCGTTTGTGTTAGTTTAACCATTAATATTTTTCCTTAAGTTAAACATTTTAACATTTATTGGAAATGCATTAAAAAGCCATGATTTTTGTGTATACATCGCAAACAAAACATTCATTCTCTTGATTTTAATTCTGACAAAACACTTTATGGTTCAATTTCAATTTTTCGTTTCCGACAAGAACTATTGCTTGAGTGGGGCGGTTTTATTGGCCTTCTTTATGAAGACTATTTTTGAGGTTATCTGTCACTCAGAGAGTGTGACAGGAATGCCTTGCAGTAATATTAAAACTATGTATGAAGTTCAGAAAGAACCAAGGAAGAAGCAAGAAAAAAGTATCCACCTACCTAAGTTTGTAAACTATTGGAATAGAGAGTAGCGAGTATGTAAACACGAGAAGAACTACAGCAGGCACAGAGTATTGACAGGCTCTCAGTTTATAACGAATTATTGCATGCCTCAACGCGTGTTTTCGTGGTGCAAGTGGTTAGCATGTGCAGTAAGCTACTGAAAGATCCTTGATTCGAATCCCGGAGAATGGGCAGTTAAATTTTCACGTTTCCTGTTCTGAAATTACTGATAGTCTATATATGCTATTCGGCAGTTAGCAATAAAAGAATGTGTTCTCCTGTTTTGTCTAACATTTTTCCCCGTAGAAGTTTAAATAATACTGCGCGACGATTAAAAGGGAATGAGTGGGTTGAGGTGATGATGAAGTTCTCAAAAGAAACATGTAATTAATTTGAATCCGGAAGTCGAATGGTGGTTGATGTTTACAAATAATCAAGCTGTACTCGCTTAAAAATTATGTTACTTTTGTGAACTCATTTCAAGCGATATTATAAATAATTAATATATTTCCTTCTAGTTCTTCTAGTTTTTCTATATTACTTCCTTCTAGTTTCCTTTTAGTTCTGGTTACTAGTTATTACTAGTTATTATCTGTTTTCATATTGCAATGAAATGTGAATTGAATACATGAAATCAATTTGATATTATTTTATTTTGCGGGCTATGCGTAAAAAATAAATATATTAAAAATAGTTTGTAGGCAATAAGTGATCCTTCAAATTGAATTTTTCTGGGCATCCTATAGAAAGAAACCTCACATTTTCATTTCTGTTTTCAGTCTGCCTAAAATTTCCTGTTAATACCTTTATTTTGTTTTTATTTCTAGGCACTTTTTCTTGCCTTCCATTTTTAATGTCATCTCTTTTCCTCAGATGTACAATTGAAGCGAAACCTGTAGTTAGTGCACTGCACTATTATGTAATTAAGTAGAACCGCTGTTAACAGAGCCTCTACCAATCGAGATCTTTGTTATCCGAGCTGGCAATCAGTGTATAGAAATAATTATGAAACTATGTTAACATTAGAAAGGATACATCGTAAATCAGTAATAGTCACGAATTTCAAGTGACTGCCGACGTTTCGGAATGGATAAATGTAGAAAACAGTGAACCAGATTTTTCAGGTTTCGAGTGACGAAAAATCATTCGCGGCATAGTTCTGGAGAATAACAAAGTTTGCAGTGATGCTGAGGATAATGATGAAGCGAAACTGTGAAAATTAGCTATTTTGAAGACTTAATGTGCGTTTATTTTGATTATGGCAAAGCACACAAAGGCTGCATGCCTAAAGAGAGAAATGCCTTTGTAGAAACCTTTTTAGGGAAATAGATTCGTATATACGTTACATGTGGGAAAACCCATAGAGCTTCCACGCTCGCAGCCCGTTTGCCAGGATTTGAAACGGGGTCGAACTATCGGTATTCTGCGATTTGAACCCTCAATGCCCTGAGCAAAGCTCTTTAGTATTTAAAGCAACATCATGATGCTTCTCCTACTAATCTTTTGTTGATCAGAAAATGACATCATCGTGCCGTAGCTGGCGTAGTTAAAGTACTGTCACAAAAATTTAACATACTTAAAAGAAATTTGACGAAACCTCACAATTTGTGTAACTGTAAATGAAGTTTGTATTTCAGTTTTTCATGAATATTTTTGTCACGAAACAAAATTCATGGATTATTTGTTAATCGAAGGAAACAAATTTTGTCTGATTGCGGTACAAATTGCCTCAAATAATCGCGGTTCTACAGTATTTGTTTTCAAGACTGACGTATTAAGAGTGTTCAATAATTATATGAAAAAATCGGACGTTTTGCACAAATTATTACTTCAAACATTTGAACCGCCATTGATATGTATGACAGTCCGTTGTGTTCTTTGTACAACCAGAATTTTGAGAGGACAGAGTTCATTTGCTAAAATATTCCTCGTTGAAGGAAGAAGACCTATCCAGTCGATATTGGCGGGCTAGAGAGTTAATACATTTGACATCCAGAGACTAATTTATTATTATTATTAATGTGTAATGTAGTCATTTAGTATTCCGTTTTCTAGTTTTGATGTAGTTATTGTCATTTTAATGAGATTAATTACTGTTTTCTCTTTTTTATTTCTATTTTTGTATTTTCCCCATGCTCTAATCTCATCCATCTTTGATGTGTGTGAGCTAATGATGTATAATCAAGTGCCTTTGCAATTAAAAAAAATACCTCAAATGTTATTTAATTCCCTTTAATTTTTTTTTTATTTCAGAATGACGGCTTAACTCATGTTATACGACAAATAAGCTATCATCCTGACTATTTGAAGGAGTTTCTTAGGACTGAAAGTTTTCTTCTGAAAGGAGATGGCCCACTGCCTTTTCATTATAGACATTATATAGCTATAATGGTAATTATATACGCTTTTTTATACCGGTTATTTCTTGATTGTGCTGGATACGACAAACAAACTCATTCATATGTTAAATTTCGTAACTGAAAAATTTGTAATGCATGAGGAAATAAAGAAAGTTTTAAAAAATATTTACTTTCCACAGTAGTCTCGTAGATAGACTTTCTAAACTGATTTTGTTTTCATTTAAGATCTTCTTTTGCAATAAGTTATTGATATTTATTTGAAGTAATAAAGGACCTTATAATTATTAGTATATATGTTTTAGAGTTCTCCAAAGCTGTAAAAAAATGAGATGCTAAATTTAAAATAAGTTTAAGAAATTAATTAGCAGTTTCCGGTAACGTGATAGTGATGAATAATATTTTACGTCATTTCGGTTGTAGGGTTTATATTTATTTTAAATAACAGTTATTTTAAGTTTAAACTATCTTTCCTGTCAAGCCTTACTTTCCCCTGGAACTGCCAAATGCCAGAGTATGTAAATTTTAGTAGAACGCGCAAGGATTCAAATTATCAGCGGAAGTATTCTGAGTTAAATAGAAAGGAAACGAGTTCGAGGTGTGCTGTTCTTACTTCACGAGCGCGGAGGTAGTTAGCCAGAAATTGAAGAACCCCGCGTTTCGGCCTGTGTGCTTGCCTAGGAGAATTGTTAATTGTTCAACGTGATATTCAAAGTTTGCTGAATTAGCAGCGGTATTGTAAAACGCGGTGAGGGTAGTTACTTTTAGAGAGCCTCGTAGTTAGAGTCTTGTTATTATTTTCTTTTCAGGTTCTTATTTTTATTTTACCGCCGGGTCGGCGTAGTTTGTGAGCGTCAAGAGCACGCACTTGTAATTTATTACGTTGAATAAAAAGGGACTTAAACCCTTAGCAAGACTTTGTCTATTTTCCAGTTTCAACAGTCACCTCTTGGTTGCGTGCAAGTTGGAGGCGCGCAACTCTACACGGTGATATATGTGTCTCAGTTGCTAAATTCTTTACGTATGGAATGCAGAAATGGAACGTATAGAGTTCTTTACATATTGGATGCAAAAAAAAGTACTGTGCTTTTTAAGTATTGCATACGCAAGGAGGTAATAGTTCAAACTATAAAATACGTTTTTCTATTGAACGGTCCTTTAAGTAAATAGATGTTTGAATTTTGTTTTCGGCGTTTTATAAGGAATAAACTTCATCTCTTATTTTAGTTGTCTTATTTATAATCAAGAGGTATAAGTAAAAGATGACAAAAAGTTAAAATGTATAAATATTTTCAAATTTTGTTTTTAAGTTTGAAATGTTTGAGTAAATAATTACATTTTACAGGCTGCGGCTAGACACCATTGCACATGCCTTATAAACCACCACAAACAAAAATTTGCAGCTTTAGGAGGAAACTTACAGTGGCTTCAAGGACTACAATATTGCCCTAAGAAACTGAGGAATTTGAATGAAATAAACCAAATTCTTGCACACACGCCTTGGAATCTACGAAAATGCCATATTGAGGTAAGAAATACACTATTAATAAAAATACACTTTTCAAGTAATAAAGGCAGAAGTAACTTGTGCAGAAATTCATCGGTATTTCAGCTCACTTTTGTAACTGCTAGTCAATTCAGTTTTATTTTATTTCGCTTAGTTTTGTCGAGTTTAGGGCTAAAAGCGCCTCATGTATTCCTCTGTATCTGAAATCCTTAAAAGCCCTACCGAAGATTGCATTCATTGGAAATTTCGTTTCTTTTTTTTTTTTTTTTTTTTTTTTTTTGTTTTGTCAGGAGGGGATGGTACGAATGACTCGTGTGATATTTAATAATTTAATGGACATAATAATAGAATTCGTACTTAATTCACCCTACCTAAATAGAATTCGCATAGTTGACAGTCATCAGACGTGAGTTCGTCTATTTCTTATCATTTTTATTTACGATGTAAGTTGAAATTTGAAATTTTTCTCGCTTGCTGCCCAGGAGCATGTAACATAAGTTAGAACGAGAAAGCAAACCAAATTTTCTACTTAAGTAGCGGCAGATCAGAGCTACGAGGCCCGAGGCAGAAATCTCCCTTTGGCCCACCTTATTGTAATGATCACCATACAAAATATCAGCACAAATATATAATTAACATTTATTTAATTAAAATTAAATAGTAAAAAAGATTTGGAAAACGTAAAGCTTAAAAAAAAAAAGACTTGCAGACAAACATACATTTAAAAAACCTTATTAATCAATAATTTGAAATGACTTAAAAATTTATGTAACTTTTCTGTCAATAAAAAAAAGATAAAACTGTTTTTTTGCGAGCTTTGATTTCTGAAATTATTTTAAGCTTCATCGAAAATTAATGTTTTTAACTGCGGCATTTACAATGGAAAGGACTGCCATACCGTTAAGTCTTACTTAGCTTGTTGTTGATCGAAGATAGCTTTTAAACATCTTCAGCTTTGAAAAGGTTTTCTCGCAAGAAGTATCTGAAACTCACACTATCAAAAAAGATTTTAATGCCATATATAAGTTACAATTCTTTGCATTCCATTTCCACAATAAGCTTTTAACGTTTTCAATGTTCGCTGTTTATTTGTTGTGGAGTCCATATTTCATGGAAGGATGGTTGACAGAGCCTCAAGGAAATCAACATTTTCAATGCAGACTACTTTTTAATTCTCTTTTACCCTTCTTTTTACATTCCTTTATATAGGTACATATATTCAAAAACTTTAGATAGTACGGCGGCTCTCCTGATCAGAGGCCTGGAGCAGTTCGCCCCTGCCTATAAGTCGGCCGTACAAAAGTACGCTCGCGAGAGAGGTATATATACACTGAACGGAAAAGTTTGCCAAGTATTTGACACTTTACACAAGTTTATTGCGATTTCGCATAGTAAATTTTCAGTATTGTATTTTATGTGATATGCTTGCGGAACAAAAGTCTCAAGAAATTTTATCACGATCATATATTCAACCGCGGTGCATGATTTTAGCAATTTTAACACTAGATTTACGGAACCCGTCATTTTGATGGATTTCGGATTTCATGAGCAAAATTACGAAAACCATTAATTGTATAGTTTTCTGTTTTATGCTGATAAATATCGATGTAGTAAGACGAATACATTCCCAAATTTATTTTCCCTTCAGCTCTTTAAGTTAAGAGTTCTGTATGATGTATACCTATCTCTACGGATACCCATCAGAATGATGGGTGAGCTGGTTTATAGTTTATCGTAATAAACCTTTTTTTTTTATGAAATTATTTTTCTGTTGACAAATGTAGAAGCAGTTTAAACGTAGATACTAAATAAAAATCATAGTTCAACAGAAATATTTTTCGATAACTTTAAATCCAGTATCAACGCACTGCGGTTCGCCAGAGCAAGGGTATGTCGCGTATGGTTATCTCTCAATTATACGTGCCTAAAATATAACCATAAAGCATTAGACTCAAGTCTAAAGAAAGATCTGCAGTCGTTGAATTCCAGTCAATGTGTCAGACGTTTTAGAAAAAATTCATTATAAGCTCGTAAGTTAGAATCATGTCAAGATTTTTAACATTTGGTATATAACCAAACATTTAATAGTTATTTCTAGCATACATGTAGTGGTTTAGAAATTTTTTTCCTGGTTAGGTTCACTTTAAAATTAATTTTACTAGAAGAGAAGTATATAGAATTCGTTGGACGAATTCATTTTCGTTTTCAGTGCACGTTTGTGCTGATAACAGATCTTCAGAGAACAAATTGACATTCATGTGTTAGCCTTGGAAGGTAAGAATTGCTGGAAGCTCTTCTAAAAGTAGTATTTTCTTCCCCTGAAGCACTTGACAACATGCTTGGGTAGGTAATGGACAGGCCTTGCATCATATTAAAACCTGTGTAGATTATGGTATTGCAAAAAACGGGTTGTAGATTAACCCATTTGTACTCAGTGTCGTTTTTTATGTATTTGCACCGTTACGGCGATAAGCGTACCTAAAAGATTTCCAAAAGAACCGGTAACTCTGTATATTATTTTTAAACAAATTATTCAAATGCATTATTTTTGTAATGGAAGAACTTTTGTAGTTCTTAGCGCGCGATAATTAATGAATTTATATTTTGCGTGGAGATTGAGATTTTACACAAAATTTTATCTGCCTTTTTTCGTATGTATTTAAAGTGTATGAAATTCATCAATTTCCATTTCAGAAGCTTAACAAAGGCTCTAATAGCTGGTCAATTGGAGAGCTTTGCCAAGCTGTGGTGATTTTAGCACATATCCACTGCCTGTGTAGTTTCGTTTACGCATCAGAAATTTTAAGGCAAACGGATGATTGTACGGATTGTGAAGATTTAAATGAAGATGATTCAAATTCTGAGGAGGTACGTTTCATCCAATTAACTGATAGTTTAAGCATCTGGAGGTAATGAATCTCTTTTTCATATATGTATATGTGTATATGTACATATGTAAAAGAAAAAATATTGTTACCAAATATCCAGGCGCGGTAAGATAGCTTCCCCGAAAAGAATGTTCTTGAACACAAGCCAGAAGCTATATAAACTTTGCTAGTATGCGGAGAGTTAGTCAGTCCGTGCGGAGTCCATCGAATTGATAGTCAGTCAAAGAGTGCCGAGTTGGTCGTCGAGTGCACCGAAAGAGTCTCTTAGTGTATCGCGGTTAGTGCATCATCGAGAGAGCTCCGGGAACGACGGAACTGAGGAGTCGGAAGCTGTAGTCTAATGTATCGTCGAGTTCTTTGCGAGTTGTAGCGTGGAGAGACTTGAGAGTACGTGAAGTTCCGGAAACGACCGAGCAGAGTCGAGAGCTGTACTCTGGGGCTTTGCAGTGAAGCTGTCTTTACCGTCATAGCCTGATTGCCTGAAGGTTGTCTCTCTGGTAGTTACAGTATGTGTATGCTCTTTTACGACTGTAAAAACGTATTTTTGAGCTGTCTTGGGGAAATAGTGGACAATAAAGTGTGTTTCGATATTTCATCGAGTGCTGTCGTCATTATTCACTCCAAATCCACAGGAACCCGTACCGTACGTAACGTAAAGGAAGAGAAGAAAATTCGTAACAATATGTAAATCAGAATTATAATTTAAATTAGCAAAGTTCCCCTATATATATGAATTCCTTGCGTCATATCCTGTCAAGCAGTCAATATGACTTCAGATACTGTTATTTGAAGGTATGCGCTCGAGATTGTAATGATTTAAAACAGTAGAGCTCTCACGCTTACGGGTACAGTGAAATTTTTCGAATGAAAACACCCACTTTTCTCGTGCGGAAATTGATCAGAACACTGAAAAACCATTAATGGCCTTGTAATGATGCACTTATGATGAAAATTACCGGCGTGAAACATTTGCTAAGAAGAAAGAGCATTGTAGAGGACCAATGACAACACAAGAAAAGCGAAGCGAAAAAAAAACTTTTATTGGAATTGCAAGGTTTCAACATGTCCACCATTTCAATATAGAGTCATCTCCAGTAACTTTTGCAGTTTCTTGGCCACCGCGATCCGTCGACCTCACTCAGATGGATTTGATTTTTGGTTCTGGGGTTATCTGAAATTTAAGGTGTACTCATCAAATCCACGAAATTTGACAGATTTGAAAGATATCGTAAAACGTGAAGTTACACAGATTCCTTCTGATATGTACGTTTGTCATTATTGTCAGCAATCTCCCATTATCATCTGCGAAGGTGAGCACCTTGAAAACTTTAAAGTTTCAATAAAAGTGTTTTTTCTCACTCCATTCTCGTGTTGTCATTGGTCCTTGACAATGCTCTTCTTTGCAAAGGTTTTACGACAGCAATTTTCGTCGTACGTGTATCGTTCCAACGCCATTTCTGGTTTGTCAGTGCGCAGGAAAACAGTGGGTGTTGCCATTCAAAATTTTGAATATTTTTCGCGGTAACTTTAACTTTGAGAGCTGTGTTATTTTAATTCATCACAATCTAGAGCGCATACCTTCAAATAACAGTATCTGAAATTTCATGTCCACTGGTTGACCAGATAGGCCGATTAATATAGCTGAAAAGAATTGAATGTATCATATCTATTTATTTGCAAGATTTTCAGAGAAACATGCGTCAGGGAGCAACTTAGAATCAGCCAAACCTTTTTAAGCAAACTTTTTTAAAGGAAACGAGATATAACGCTAAATTAGCTCAGAGCGCTTTGTGTGAAAAGTTGAGCATCTTCTTCTCCTGAGACAAGAAGGGGAAAGGAAAAGTTGCTGTAGAGCAGAGGTGTCCAACTTCTTTAGATTCCGTGGCACCCGTTGGGAGAAAACGAGATACTTTAAGCCATACAAATTATTTCTAATATCAGTGATAGCTCGTGACCTCCAAAATAAATGAATCAGACATTTGCGTACATTTCATTGAAAATTTTCGGGTTTGCTCAAGTCTGATCTCTGAGACAATTTTTTTGAATTTAACCTCTAGGAAAGAAATGTGCGGGAAGAGAACAAAAAAGATTTTAAAAAATTTAAAATCATAATTCAAACGCTATTATTCACTATGGCATCCATATGAACAGAACGTCGAAGCACCAAACTGTTTTCTTACTTTCATATTCACTTAGCATGTCGTATTTCCACAAACTGTATAACAAAATGTAGAAAATAATTCTGCACACAGCTCGATATAGGATTTAAGGAATAGGATAGCACCACGCCGAAATAGTATAGTCCGAAATAGGATCACGCCACTTAAAAAACACTTTGAAGCACTTGAAAACATCGCTGGTATCCATTACAACTTGAAAACGAGAAATGCTAGAAACTCTAACCTTAATAGCCTCACCTTAGCGATGTATTTAAACACAAAACAATGCATTAAAATAATCACTCCCCGCACATGACAAAAGAAGATTTGGAACCGTCACGCCACTCAAGATGCATTTTATTTCATTCCAACTCGGGCGTCCAACAACCCGTCCATGTTGAAAGCCACTTTCGAACCCCGATCGCAGAAATAAAAATGTATCGGATATTTCTTTTGCGCTTCTCGCTCGCTTGTTGGGCCGCATGTGGCTCTCGTGCCGCGTTTTGGGCACCCCCATTTTACAGTAAAAACAAATTGGCCTAATCTGAAAATTTTCCTTTTCATAATATTTAAATACACCTCAGCTCAGTTTACTTATCTTTTATCTGAAATTCTTTCTATTATGTATAATAAGCGGTAATGATGCATTAATAATTTTTCAGTTGTTTTTACATGAATTATGTTCTTGTAGTCTTCTCGAAGAAATATTTGAGTCATATTTTAGTGCACTTTTAAAATACGTTATTGGCTGGAATAACGGATATTTTTTAATTGCTAGTAAATACTAACAAGGATATGAAAGGTCTAAAAGGGGATTGTTGCTATAGTTTAAAAAACATTTTAACTAGGTGGAAGCTATTATTGTTATCATGTTAAATAAAATGCTGTACTGAGTTTTTGTTGATGTTTTCCATGTATTCATTCAATTTGAAAGCCTCTTGTGGAGTATTTTCACGGACTCACTGGTAACACTGGATTATTTAAAATCAGTCTCATTTGTTTAAAATTGAGTAAAAGCAATATAATATTTGGTTGCTTTTGCTAGAATAACTTTTAATAATTCTGCATAGTTATTACTATTACTTTTCGTTAACCAGTTATTTTATGTTTTAGATCTTTACTGTCACCTCTCGCTTCCGTTTCCCTACCAGAATGTAAATACTACTAGACTTAGTTTTAATCTGAAATTTGAAGTTAATATTTTTTAAGTTACATTGCCATAAGTGGTTGCCTGATTTTTAAGCACGAATCGTACACTTATATTCAAAGTTCTGAATTAATAAAAAGGTTTGTTTAAACCTTGTCAAGTCTCATTCGTTAGCTTCGGACGCAGCGGTGATTCGCTCCCAGTGTGTTAGGCACTTGCAGGAAGTACATGCATCCAATAACATGTTTTCAACAGCTTATTTTTAACACATTATTTAAAATAGGTTTCGCACTGTGTGTCATCACAAAAGCGCGAGAATCTTTGCTCAGCACTAACAGTAAATCATCTTACAGTTAAGTCCATTGCATATGAGATCCCATTAACTTTTAAACGTTTTGAATGATGTCCTGGGACATACTTTCCCCTTTTGATAATAAATATTCCCACGGATTACCAATCTACAATAATATTGCATTGAATTTATTAGAATATGCCGTAGAACATCAAGAGCTATCTGCATAAGGAGAGGGATGCATTCTTGTCTGATTTTCTAAAGAAAACTGTCTCCTATGTACCTTACACGTGACAAGAAGCTCGTATCCCATCCTACCCATTTCCTGCATTCGCACAGTGATTCCATTTGGTAATTTTTTGTTGCAAAAGTGCTGGTGTGAAGATTAGACTAGTCAATATTTTTTCTCCATAATCCTTGCTAAAAATCAGAGCGCGAACACTACACAAGCGTACACGATATTCCCCAAGCCGGCTACATATTTGATAACTAATTGCGTTTGCCTCAAGAATGAAAGAACTTTTTAATAGCTAAGACGGTGCTTAAGACAAAGAATACGAGGGCTGTAAGGGAAGAGATGCCTTCGTAGAGAGCTGTTTAAGGGAAACTAGCTCGTATTTCACGTTATACTTAGGAAAACAGGAAAAATTCCCATGCAGCCAGCTCATTCGTCTGGGCGAACTGCCAATTTTCAGCGTTCTTAATCCACTTGACTACTGGTGAACGATAATCAAAACGAGAAGATTTTCTTTAAATTTAAATTGATTTAAATTTAAATCGATAACAGGTATGACGGAGGAGTCTATGTTACTGAAATCGTTCATTAATATCTGCTCGAATGTGACAAGTATGTAGTATGGAGCATTTTGTTTTTAACGCATTGAGGTATAAAAAGTATTTTGTTAATTAGAATTTTTACTCGTAGGGGATGATATAAGAGAGATTCCGTATCTACTGAATTATGCTAACTACAAAGACTGTTTGGATAAATGAGAGAATTGTTTTATTTATTCCATTTTATTATGTATTTATTTTCTATTTTATTTTAAGCAAACAAAACCTACAGCAATCATTCACGAACGCCATGCTGATCAAAGAACGTTCCCTCTCACGCATACAAGTTGAGACACTGCTGATCTGTTTTAGCTTTCAGCTGCATTGCTCAACCAGTTCAAAAAAGGGGGGCAGTGAGAGATAACTTTTGGAAAATTGTGTCAAATTTGATACCGTTCTTTATGCAGTCCGAATCTTCTACACCAAGTACTTAGTCATTAAAACTCATGTAAATGTTTAAACTTAAACTAATACGCCCTCTACGCTTGAGTTCTGGCCTCTATGCTTGAGCCAGGCTTTGAATATATATGAAAGTGAAAATCTCACAT